ACGCCACAGCGGCGAGGAGAGAGGCTTCAAGGCCCTTACCTGGGGCGCGGAAATATTGGCACACCTCTTGCAGCGGCTCTAAGCAAGGGCGGAAGGGAGCATCACTTCCTACTGCCTCATCACTGATGGTCAAGTCGCGAAGGAGCATGTCCTTCGTGCCAGCGTCCGCAATCGTTTTTACCGTCCGATTCCCGTACGCTTGTAGGTCCAGACAGAGCCCAGTGTCCGTTTCCCAGCAGTCCCAACTCCTAGGTTGCCACCCAAGACGTCTCAAGGTCACCAGCATGGCCCCCGCAGGGCCTGTGACTTGCTGCCAACCAAGTACCGCCTGACAAATACCCTCGAACACGACTTTCATCTCATCATGCGGAGCCCAGCCCAGATGTACAGCATTAGCCCAAGGCATCAGGGGGGCGGAGTTCGCAACATACGCTGGGTCGGCCTGCGGCGTCGGCGACAGCATGAAGCCAATCGTGCGACTCCTGCCCTTGGCCTGCCCGAACACCGCCTCGCCCGCCACCGAGCGCAGCTGCTGGAGGGACCTGTCCGACACTCCTGTGACCGAGGCCCCGTAGAGTCCTGCTGGGTTGGCACCTGCGCGCACGATCCTGGTCAACATCTTGAAGGACGATCTCAACCAACGGAAACGGTGGGCCCTTCGCTTGAGCTTGGCCACTCGGGCCTTCTGCACGGGGTTCCTTCGGACCTTTCCCATGGTGAAATCCACTCCAAGATTCCTCACCACCGAGGCCCCTGTGAACCCCCACCTGGCCAGGGCTCTCTCGGAACTCTGGACCACGTCAGGGTGGGTCGACACGATTTTGCCCTTAGCCCTGGCCAGAACTAGGTCCAACTCCTCCAGCTTCCTGCAGGTCAAACCGACGACGACTGGCAACATGTCACGCACAAACTTCCTGCCACCTCGAACACGTACCGTGGTATCACCAACCACGTTGTACACGCGTGCGAAGGGAAATTTAGCCATCACGCAGTCCAACATGCGAACCAACAGTACTTTCTGAAGCGTCGTGGCGAACGTACACCCTGCAACAATAGTTTGCTCCGGCATTACTGGTGCTGATGCGACCTGGCCTACCGCGAGGGGGCGAGGGCAACGGTAAACACACAGCAACAAGCGAATAATATCTAACGGGAACTTCGCCATCTGGGCCGCATCGATCAAATGTCCATGCAACACTTTCTCGTATGCCTTGGACAAGTCGAGGAGGCCCGCCCCTGCACAAGTCTTCGTAATCCGAGCATGCTCTGCAGCCAAGGCCTGCTCCCAGACCCCACGTTCACAAGACATGCCGTAAAAGAATTCTCGCTTATTCTCAGTCTCCCATTCCCGAGCTACAGATCTGGCGCAGCGTCCCCACACTCGCACAACGGTGGATAGGAGACCAATGGGCCGAAATCCGCCCTCGGGCTTCTCGAGCATTGCAATCATGATCAAGGACACGTGGGACGGGAGTCTGCCCGCGTCCAGCATCCAGTGCCGCAGCAAGCCCAAGACTGTGAGGCCGCGGTCAGACAAGTACACGAGATCGCGAGGGCGCAACCTATCAGCCCCGACAGCCGTCCGCTCCTTGAAGGTCCTTGCCACCCTGCGGATGGTGCGGCAGTCAAAGGGCGGGATGCTGGCGGCCTCCTGCGGGTCGATGCCTTCCCCCTCCAGCATGATGGACAGGCACTTGAGCGGGTCGAGCTTATCGCTGGCATACACCACGACCGCGTCCTCGACGGGCGCCGATGCCCCCCAGATCTCACTCCACTCATGCTGCAATGTCTCGACTTGCTCACCGAGCCCCATAGGAGCCCCATCAAGTCCAGGCGCGGAAGGTTTCCATCCCGCGGGCGATTTCGTGAATCGGTGGGCTTTACCCGCTCCGTGCTCACATGCTTCTGCAACCCACCTCCTCCAAGCTGCGCAGCGGGCCCTCGCAAACGCCTGGTCCAGCAATGAGGCGGAATAGGCTGCCTCTCTCGAATACTCATCCAGCTGCCCATCTGTCAGAGCCAGAATGCCTTCGAAAGACGGGCACCAACGTCTCCAGAAGTCAACCTCTTCGTCAGGCGGCCGACTGCCCATGATCTTAGAAATCAAAACCATACAATGCTGCGGGAAAACACCCCCCGTCCGACGAACAATGCAGGCCAACTCCTGGAATCGAATCGAGACCTTCCCCCACCCACGAGCCTTGGCACAAGATAGAGCATATGGGCCTCCTGATGTCTGCAGCTCCTGCACCCTGCGCAACTTCCAGCCTTGTCCCCGACCGCGATACTTCCTCTCGTCAGGGCTCTGGATCCCATGTACCGAAATGAGTTCTGTCTCCGCTAGATCAAAGAAAATCTGGCAAACTCGATCCAATGCTTCCTGCCCACTACGCTCGCTCGAATGTGACGCGTCCTCTCCCCAGTGAAGTATCGTCTCCTCAATGGGCCC